GGTATGCACCTGTAGTCCCAGCTACTCTGGAGGCTGAGGTGGGAGGATCACTTGAGCTCAGGAGTTGGAGGCTGCAGTGAGCTAGAATCCTGTCACTGTACTCCAGCCTAGGAGATGGAATGAGGTCCTGTTTTTTTAAAAAAAATTAATCAATCTGGGATCTACAAACTTTTCTTTTATTTGAGATGGAATCTCACTCTTGTCGCCCAGGCTAGAGTGTAATGGTGCAATCTCAGCTCGCTGCAACCTCTGACTCCTGGGTTCAGGCGATTCTTTTGCCTCAGCCTCCCGAGTGGCTAGGATTACAGGTGTGCACCAACCACGCTCAACTAATTTTTGTATTTTTAAATGAGGGGGTTTCACCACCTGGGTCAGGCTGGTCTCGAACTCCTGACCTGAGATGATCTACCCGCCTCAGCCTCCCAAAGTGCTGGGATTACAGGTGTGAGCCACAGTGCCTGGCCTACATACTTTTCAGTAAGGGATCTGATGGTATTTTAGTCTGTGTGAGCCATAGGGTCTCAGTCACATCTACTCAGCAATACAGTCGTAGTGTGAAAGCTGGGAGAGATAATACCTATACCATGAGTGCAGCTGTGTTCCAATAAAATTTTATCTACAAAAACAGATGGCAGACCAGATTTGGCTTATGGACAAGTGGTTTGCTGACCCGTGGTCTAAGCGATTATGTTAACAGAATCGTAATATTTATGTATACAAGCTTTTCAGTATTACAAGTAATGCTGTAATTCCCTTTTTACTTTTTATTTATTTATTTTTGACACAGAGTCTCGCTCTGTCTCCCAGGCTAGAGTGCAGTGGCGTGTTCTTAGCTCACTGGAACCTCCACCTCCTGGTTACAGGCAATTCTCCCGCGTAGCTGGGATTATAGGCACATGCCATAACACCTGGCTAATTCGTATTTTTAGTAGAGATGGAGTATCACCATGTTGGCCAGGCTGGTCTTGAACTCCTGACCTCAGGTGATCCACCCGCCTTGGCCTCCCAAAGTGCTGTGCTGGGATTACAATTGTGAGCCACCGCTCCCGGCCTCCTTTTTCTTTTTAATATAATGTTTTTAGGATAGATTTCTAGAAGTGAAGTTACTGATTCAAAAGTTTTTAGGTTTTTTTAATGACTCTGAAAGTGCTAAGTGCCTTTGAAAGAGACAAGTTTTAGTTTTCATAAATTACTTGAGATGGTCGGTGCAGTGGCTCATGCCTGTAATCTCAGCACTTTGGGTGACTGAGGCGGGCAGATCACCTGAGGTCGGGAGTTTGAGACCAGCCTGGCCAACATGGTGAAACCCATCTCTAGTTAAAATACAAAAATTATCCAGATGTAGTGGCTCGTGCCTGTAATCCCAGCTACTCAGGACACTGAGGCTGGAGAATTGCTTGAACCTGGGAGGTGGAGATTGCAGTGAGCCAAGATAGTGCCACTGCACTCCAGCCTGGGTAACAGAGTGAGACTTTGTCTCAGAAAAACAAAACCAAAAAAAAAAAAAAAAAGTACTTCATTAGAAGGCAGAGCACACAGTGGCTCACTCCTGTAATCACAGCACTTTGGGAGCCTGAGGTGGGAGGATCACTTGAGCCCAGAGTTTAAGGCCAAACTGGGCAACATAGGGAGACTCTGTCTCTGGAAGATAAGAAGCTGGACATGGTGGCTCATGCCCCCGTAATCCTAGCACTTTGAGAGGCTCAGGTGGGCCGATCACCTGAGGTCAGGAGTTCCAGACCAGCCTGGACAACATGGTGAAACCCCATCTCTACTAAAAATACAAAAATTAGCCAGGCATCATGGTGCATGCCTGTAATCCCAGCTTCCTGGGAGGCTGAGGCAGGAGAATTACTGAAATCTGGGAGGTTCAGGCTGCAGTGAGCTGAGAGCACGCCACTGCACTCCAGCCTGGGTGACAGAGCAAGACTCCATCTCAAAAAAGAAACAAAGAGAAACCTGGGTGTGGTTGTGCATGGTGCATGTCCGTAGTTCCAGGTACTCAGGAGGCTGAGGTGGGAGGATCACTCGAGCCCAGGAGTTGAAGACGGCACTGAGTTAAAACCCTGTCTGGGTAACAAAGCAAGACCCTTTCTCAAAAGATAAATAATAAACATAAAACCATATCAAGTATCTTACCTTTTGAGGATTTGGGATAGAGGCTTCCCTCTGTCAATTTGAATTTTAAGATGAAAAGAAGACATTAATCGATACTATGGAAAATAATAAGTCTTGTATTTTAAGGTTTATTAGGTATAAATTTTATGATCTAATATTTCTTAAATTTTAAGATCTTTTTACAAATTAAAATTTTAAAACTTGCTTGTATTTTGATTGCTCTTCACTTAGCTGATAGAATATATTAAATTTTCCTCTACGTTGTATACCATTAGCTAACTTGATTACCATCACAAATTTTTATTGTTTCAATTTTTGTTTAAGTACTTCAAACACCTGGCAAGGCACACTTACAAATCTAACAAAGGAAATCTTCCTAAGCACTGAGATATTGTTTATAAAACTAAGTCTAAACTTACTGATTTAATCAGTTAGATTCCCTTATATGTTTAAATGTAGACGACAGTTAAATTTTTATGAATCTAATGCATCGGAAACTTTTCAACTCTTCAAAATACTAAAGGCAAACAAAAATCCAATGATAAAATGTATTACCACACATACCTTAACCTATCATGTCAACTTATCACAATAGTACAAGTTTGGCTCACTTTTAAATGATACCTGTACTTTAAAAAATATCTTTCTTAGGTTGCACTGTCACTTAAGCAATTAAAGGCTGCCTAGTGCTGTGGCTGGTTTAGGATACGGATTACATAATCTTTTACTGCCTGATTTGATATAAAATAGAATTAATTATATGAATACAGTGAGCACATAATTGCATTTTTTGCTGTTTTATTATTGGAAATTTTTATTTTCACTTTTAAATATCTGTGGACTCATGGCTTCTCATAGAATTATTTTTTCATTTTTATGTATATTTGTCTTTTTTCTCTTTCAGTGCTGAATTGTCTGACTTGGACAGTGGAAGCCCCTTTAAACTGATCCTCTATTTGATTCCCTCCACCCAGGGCATATTTGTAAATATTGTGCTTTCTGGCAACAACAGGATGCTCCAGGCTCTTTGCCTCCAGAAATGCAGTCCCCTGCCTGCCAAGGAGTCCTGGGGAATTTTTGTGGAGAGAATAGTATTAGAAGGTCAATTCTGATCTTAAGGTTATCGTTAACAGATAATGTGACACAGCTGCTTTGACCACTGTACTAACAGAAAAGTATTTTTTTAAGGATATGACTTTTTAGTGATCTTTCTAATGTAATTTCAACTGTATAGAGTATTTAAATATTTTAAATCAATTCTAGTTTTGTGTCATAGTAATATATAAATTTACGGGTCAACTGGTAATTTAAGGTCTATAACAAAAACAGTGGTCTGTAGGGAAAAAAGAAACACAGAAATCAGTGCTGTCTGCCCCATGATAAAGGCAACTACTTTGAACATTTTAATCCATTTTTTCTTTTTTTTTTTTTTTGAGACGGAGTTTCACTCATGTTACCCAGGCTGGAGTGCAATGGCGCAATCTCGGCTCACCGCAACCTCCGCCTCCTGGGTTCAGGCAATTCTCCTGCCTCAGCCTCCTGAGTAGCTGGGATTACAGGCACACACCACCATGCCCAGCTAATTTTTTGTATTTTTAGTAGAGACGGGGTTTCACCATGTTGACCAGGATGGTCTCGATCTCTTGACCTCGTGATCCACCTGCCTCGGCCTCCCAAAGTGCTGGCATTACAGGCTTGAGCCGCCGCGCCCGGCCTCCATTTTTTCTAATACTTAACTCCATGCGTCTGAATAATATGCCTTGATTTTTCCACTTTAGACAGCCATTGTCTGTCTGCTATGAAATGTCTCTTATGTCAGGCTCCCTTTAACACAGTGAGACATATATACTCTTCCCCTTTCATTTTCTGTGTGGTTTTGGCATAGTTAGCGATTGATTACATATTCAGAAGTTTGACATACCTGTGCAGCCTCTTATGTGTGACTCAGAATTTTTGTTCCTCTTCAAGAATGTATGGGAACCTTGACAGGAATCATCTCCTTGTCTCTGTTTCTTCCTTCCTAACCGCAGTGAGGGAGCAGAAAGCGGACAAGTCCTGAAATACGTCAATCCTCACTGCGCGACTTCCACTAAAATCCTATGTGTTTGGGCTGCTTTAGCTGACCCTGTGAGATTTTTCTTTTTTTCTTTTATTTTTTTCACTTTTATTCTCAAGGGAGGTGACTGGTGAGATTTTTTTTTTGACTCTGTCCTTTCCTTATTATAAACTCTAATTATACTTAATTTGTATATTTTTTTCTCTGTTTTGTTGTACTTAATTTATAGAAGGCAGATTTTCCTTAAGGTTCACTTAGGTATCCATGTTTGTAACATCCCTGCCTTGATGATCCGTTATTTTCTTGTGAACTTAACTGTGGGAGTTTTTTTTCAGATAATTGATAGAATTTGTTACTCATACAACCCCATCATCACTTCGGTTTTTTTTGTTGTTGTTGTTTTTGTTTTTGTTTTTGTTTTTTGAGATGGAGTTTCGCTCTTGTTACCCAGGCTGGAGTGCAATGGTGCGATCTCGGCTCACCAAAACCTTCGCCTCCTGGGCTTAGGCAATTCTCCTGCCTCAGCCTCCTGAGTAGCTGGGATTACAGGCACGCGCCACCATGCCCAGCTAATTTTTTGTATTTTTAGTAGAGATGGGGTTTCACCATGTTGACCAGGATGGTCTCGATCTCTTGACCTCGTGATCCACCCGCCTCGGCTTTCCAAAGTACTGGGATTACAGGCGTGAGCCACCGCGCCCGGCGTTTTTGTTGTTTTTATACTGTTTCTCTTATAGCCACACTTGTCAATTTGGGAAAATTATTGTATACAAATGGAAAGTATTTGGAGTCTTTTGTCTGATGTTTACATTTTTTTTTTTTTCAGATATATTTTTGCCATCATGGATCAGTTTGGAGATACATTAGAAGGTGAAGTGGATCATTCTTTCTTTGACAGTGACTTTGAAGAAGCAAAGAAATGTGAAAGTAACTCAGTTTATGACAAGCAAAATGACGACCCAAAAGAAAGAATAGATAAAGATACAAAAAATGTAAGCTTGAACACTGGAATCCAAACAAAGGAAGATTATCTTACTGGGAAGGGAAATGAAAGAAACGTGAAATTTCCCCCAGAACACCCTGTAGAGAATGATGTTACACAAACTGTAAATGCTTTCTCATTGCCAACCACTTCAAAATCACAAACATTGTGTGGTGTTACAACAGGACTTAAAATACACTTGTCCATTCCAAATAGTGTTCCTAAAATCGTAAAAGAAGGTGAAGATGATTATTATACAGATGGAGAGGAAAGCAGCGATGATGGGAAGAAATACCATGTGAAGTCCAAGTCTGCGAAACCACCTACTAATGTCAAAAAAAGTGTAAGGAAAAAGTATTGCAAAATTCGTTCCTCTTCCTCCTCCTCTTTATCTTCCTCACCTTCAAGTTCAGGTACAGATTGTTTAGATGCAGGTTCTGATTGCCATCTATCTGATTCATCTCCATCATCCAAGAAACATGTATCTGAGGTAACCCTCCTATCACCAAAACAGAAGTGTAAGTCAAGAATAAAATCGACAGAAACACGGGCTTTGAGGACTGCAGCAAAATGTGGCCACTACCCTGAGGAGTCTGAAGATACTGTGACCGACGTAACTCCCTTATCAACTCCAGACATCAGCCCTCTTCAGTCTTTTGAACTGGGCATAGCAAATGATCAAAAAGTGAAAGTTAAAAAGCAAGAAAATGTGAGCCAAGAAATATATGAAGATGTTGAGGATTTGAAAAATAATTCAAAATATTTGAAGCCAGCCAAAAAAGGGAGAGAAAAACATGAGCCTGATCTCTCAAAGTCCTCTTCAGTGTCAGACTCCAGTTTAGACCACAGACACAAGCAGAAAGTCCTACATGACACAATGGATCTGAATCATCTCTTGAAAGGTAATTTTCTTCTTAAAATATGTGTATTTATTAATTATATATTGAGCATAAATACTAAATGCTATGAATTTGCATTGAATTTTTCTAGTAGATTTTTTTATTGTTGGGATACTTGATACTATTATTAGTAACTTTACCAAATATTCCATTTTACCATAAAAATATCTGGAATGTAATTTGTATTATTTTGTACAGTAATTTGTATTTGTATAATACAAATTTTATTTTAGTGCCTTACAGACTCAAAAGCCCTAGAGGAAACAGATGGGTAAGATGAATGAGAGAAGGGGAGCCAGCTGTTTTTCCACTTTTGATGGAGATACAGGCATGTTTTACTTTCTTCTTTGAGAAACTCAGCAGCACTCAGGTTAACGTCTGACGTGGTATCCTCATATATCAGGGACAGTGGCAAGAATGCTGGCAAATGAGAGAACTCAGAGTAAACTAAAGAGGACTCTTCAGACTTTTTAATTAAAGGCTAAAGAGAATTGCTTGAAAATAATTACCAAATTGATGAAATAACAACATTAAGTTGCTTTAAGATATAAGACTATTAGAATAGTCTTTTTTTTGCTTTATTTCTGTTTCAATTTATTATTATTTATATTTAGTTTGAAAACAACAATTTTCCAGTTCAAGTAAGAGCAACTTCAAAGTTTATCTTTGGACTAGTTAATAGAACTAATATTATTGGGTAGGTTTTAGGTCAGTTGATAAAGTTTTTAACTTGTAAATAGAATTCTCTGTCTTCCCTTGTTTGAAATGTTGAAGAATAAGTCTTTAGCTACATAAATTACATATGGTAGCAATGTAAGGGCATAAATACCGTGTTAGTAGAGTGACTCATGGTCAAATTGACTAGGTGTATTTAGGAGCAGTTCACACTTGATGTTCCCTCTTTTGTAGGTTTTGTTTTTTGTTTTTGAGACAAGGTCTTGCTCTGTCATCCAGGCTGGAGTGAAGAGGCATGACCACAGCTCACTGCAGCCTTGACCTCCTGGGCTTATGTAATCTTCCTGCCTCAGCCTCCAGAGTACCAAGGACCACAGGCCTGCCCCACCATACCTGGCTAATGTTTTTTATTTTTGTAGAGACAGGTTTCACTATGTTGCACGGACCACCTCAAACCCCTGGGCTCAAGCAAACCTCCTACCTTGGCCTCCCAAAGGGCTGGGATTACGGGTGTGCGCCACTGCATCTGGTACATTTGGAGGTATTTTTTCCCTCTTTCTCTGATTGTACCTATGGATTGTTTAGAGTCTCTGAAAAATCACACACATAGTGTTGGCCATCACCATTTGGTGGCAAAGCCTCCACTCCATACATCTTTCTTAATAAATGCTCATTCAGCCCTCTTAGAACTTTCAGCATTAAAGAGTTTTTTTTTTTTTTTTTTTCAGGCTCTCTACTTCCTCCCATAAGATCTAAAGTGATCTTTTACAAAGTAAATTTTAAAAAAGAAAAGTAAATCAATCCTACTAGTTTCTACTCTTCAGTGATTTACTCTTATATTAAAATAACATCTGAAGGCTGGGCGCAGTGGCTCACACCTGTAATCCCAGCACTTTGGGAGGCCAAAGCGGGTGAATCACAAGGTCAGGAGTTCGAGACCAGCCTGGCCAAATGGTGAAACCCCATCTCTACTAAAAATAGAAAACATTAACTGGGTATAGTGGTGGGCACCTGTAATCCCATCTACTCAGGAGGCTGAGGCAGGAGAATCACTTGAACCCAGGAGGCAGAGGTTGCAGTGAGCTGAGGTCACGCCACCCCAGCCCAGGCAACAGAGTTGAGACTCCATCTCAAAAAATAAAAATAAAAAAAATAGCATCTGACCAGGAGCAGTGGCTCACACATGTAATCCCAGCACCTTTGGAGGCCAAGGTGGGAAGACTGCTTGAGGTCAGGAGTTTGAGAGCAGCCTGGCCAACATGGCAAAACTCTGTCTCTACAAATAATGCAAAAAATTAGCCAAGCATGGTGACACACACCTATATTCTCAGGTATTCCGGAGGCTGAGACATGAGAATTGCTTGAGCCTGGGAGGTGGAGGTTGCAGTGAGCAGAGATTGTGCCACCGCATAGCAGCTTGGATGACAGAGCAAGACTCCATTTCAAAAAGAAAATTATATATGAATTTTGTCTGTGTGTTGATTAGTTAAGCTAGAGCATATGATTCCCTGGGTGGGTGATTCATTGGATTGATGGACAGCAGGCTGCAGCTGTCTCCAGCTCTTCTGGGTTTCCAGCACCAACCTCAAGTGCTCTAACAACAATTTTTAAATATTTTGGTCTTAGGACCCTTTTACGTTCACAAAAATTATTGAAGATTCCAAAGAGCTTTTTTTGTTTATATAGGTTATAGCTTATATCCATAAATATTTACCATAATAGAAATTCAAAATTAAAAAAGTGTTGATTTAATAGAAGTAATAAACTCATTATATAGTTACTATATAATGTAAGTAACTGTCATGAAAAAGCTGTATATCCAAAACATTAGTGATTTTTGCTAATCTCTAGTGTCTGGTTTAATAGAACATGGCTGGATTCTGAAATCGGCTTCTGCTTATAATCTATTGTATATCTATTATAATCTATATTTAAAGGATGTACAGAAAATCGGGCATATACAAAATGTGGTTCAAAAATGGAGGAACGTTTTAAAAACCTTTTCAGTTTACTGTGGATTTTTTTTGATAGCACAAGTAGTAGTTTCTTCTTTTTTTAAACAGTCTCTCTGTCGCCCAGGCTGGAGTCCAGTGGCATGATTTTGGCTCACTGCCATCTCTGCCTCCCAGGTTCAAGCAATTCTCCAGCCTCAGCCTCCCAAGTAGCTGGGATTACAGGCATGTGCCACCACGGTGGCCCAGCTAATTTTTGTATTTTTAGTAGCGATGGGGTTTCACCATGTTGGCCAGGCTGGTCTGGAACTCCGGCCCACCTTGGCCTCACAGAGTGCTGGGATTATGGGGGTGCACCACCTTGCCCGGCCCGCAACTAGTAGTTTCTTAGATGTAGTTGCAATGTGAAATCTGAAATTAATCTCAATTAACTTTTCATCTTGAATTTCATAGTCTGTTACATTAAAACATATTGATCTTTCTTAATTGATTTTTAATGTGTATTTGTATCATGAAATATTGAGTATTTGGAAAATATTGTTTCACTGAGCTTACAAATGTTGGCAGGCCAGGCACAGTGGGTACGGCTGTCATCCCAAGATTTTGGGTGGTAGAGGTAAGCGGATCACTTGAGTGCAACATGGTGAAACCTTGTTTCTACCAAAAATACAAAAATTAGCTAGGCATGGTGGTGTGTGCTACTGCAGTCCCAGCTACTGGGGAAGACTGAGGTAGGAGGCTCACTTGAGCCAGGGAGTTGGAGGTTGCAGTGAACTGAGATCACGCCACTTGATTTCAGCCTAGGAGACAGAGCAAGACCCTGTCTCAAAAAAAAAAAAAAAAAAAAAAAAAGGTTGGCAAATTTCAGAATACATAAATAGAAATCATAGTTGCTAATATCACTACCAGTTGCATCAGAAAACTCTTGAGAAGCTGTCAAACTCATGGTGGCAGATAGAAGTTGACCCAAAATACTCTTTTTTGCTAAAAAGCTCAAATTTTATTATTGGTAACAAATACTGTCAACTGTTTTCCTTGAAGTGACAGAACTGTTCTTTAAAATTATATTTGTAATGCAAAAATTGGATGGTGTTAGAAATTTAAAAAAAAATTCATGAACTAATGCAGATTGTTCACTAATATTGTGTAATAACATGTATCTTGATATATTTGGTTTTTTTTTTCTTGTGTGTCAGATTTCTATTGCTGCCTTGCTCTTCTTTAATAATTTTTACTGTGATTTATATGTGTTTAACCCATTTCCTGTCCAGGAAAAAAAGAAAGAAGTACAGCTCACTGCCAGCACTGATTTCTTGGGGCAAATAGGAAATGTGTTAAAAGTAGCAGCCTATAGTTTGGCATTAAAAAATATCATTCTTGTAAAATTAGGTCAAAACTTAGATGTTGAACAGAGAAATGTTCTAGAAGATAAATTAAAATATTTAATATGCCTAATAGGCTTCATTTTTTAAATTCAGGCTTGTTTGACTAAATCATTATTTTTAAGGAGACACTCCATTTTTAAAAATTTTACAAGTACTATTTGATCTCATAAATTAAAAACCCCACTTCAGTATCCTAGGAATGAGGATAGAAAAGATCATACAAAAGTAAGATATTGTTTCAGCCAATAAAAAGCTTCATATAGAACAAAAACACCCAACTCTTGGAATTTGTCAAGTTTTTTAAAAAAAAAAAACATCTCATAGAAAATAGTCTGATTTTTGGGCTCTTTGTTCAGGGTCATCAATGATTATCCAGGATTTTGAATACAAGAAAGGAACTCGAATGAAACAATATTTCTCATATAACAGGTGGCCCAAAGATAGAATAGGCTTCAGGGCTGATGGACTGAGGGGCTCAAAAACGTCATCAGGGACCTATTCTAGCACTGCGTTCCTCCGGCCCTGGTGTTGGCTTCATTTTTAGGCTGCTAGGAGATGTCTGCAGCCGTTTTCAGTTTTGGTCTTCAGACACAACAGTGTTCAGAGAAAGACAGTGTGTCTTACCTGACTCTTGGAACGGAGAAAACGTTTTAAAGAAATTTCTCCCAGTCAGCTTCCACTTAAGTCGCCTTGCCCAGAATGATTACACTCCTGTTACTGAAGCAGTCGTTGGGAAGGGGAAATGGGATTTTCCTGGGCCAGTCAGGCTCATGCGGGAAGTCAGGGATCTCTGGAGCAGGAGGAAGACAGGTGTACAGTAATTGGGCATCCACCTTTGTCCAGCAGAGCTTCTCAAACTTTAATATGCATCCAGCTAACCCACAGGTACTGTTAAAATGCAGATTCTGGTTCAGTAAAACTAAGGTAAGAGCTAAATCAGCATTTGTAACCAGCCCCTACTGGTGATACCATGCTGCTGATCCCTGGTCTG